TAGGTGCTGTTCGGAGAATGTTATGATGTACGCAGATTCGCTCCTCGGAAAAAACACATGTTCCGTTTACCACTTGCCAAGACGCCATTTTGTATCAAAAGTTATAATAAAAAATTTTTTTTATATATCTCAAAACATGTATAATAAAGCCTCAAAATTTCATTTTGATCCATTGAATAGTTTCCAAGAAAAAAATTCCCAAAAAAACGTTCATTTTTCAGTGCGCTTGGATAGTATAACCCCTTAAATCCTGAAAGTAGCAATAAGAAAATTACATAAAATGCTTCTATAACAGTAGCAATGAAATAAATAATCTGTAGTTTTGCTATGAAAGCTTAATACAAAATCATACATTTCACCTTAAATGTTGATAAGAAAATAAAAATGTAAAAAGTCAGTAACAAAATAATAATTACTTTTAGCTACTGTCATAAAAATATAATGAAAGCAAAGTAATAATTAACTGTACAATATTTTGATAATATTTTTGTTATAATACGAATACGTAGAGAAACCTCAAGATGAAGGTGACTAAAATGAACAATAAAACTTAAAGTAAAAGTTCAAATACTTACTAAATCCATTAATTCCTGTGAAACACTAAAAGCAGTGATTCTTTTTTCAGCAAGCATGTTTGGATTAACCATTTTTTTTCTTAGCTAAACTTGGATTTTCTGTTTCAGCTAAGTTCTGTCTTTTTTGTGTTTCTACTTTATTTTGAGATCTTTTATTTTCCGCATCTGATTCCAAATCCTATAATTAAATATTAATAGAATTATAAATTTAATAGAAAAAATATATAAAATAGAAAGATTAAATAGAATAATGAAATAGACTACACTTTTTAAACGAAAATGAAAATAAATAAATTTGGTAATATGCATATTTCTATTCTAGTATCTATATTTTTTTACTATAGCATAGCAATATCTTATTTCGATTCAAACGTTTAAACACTGTACTGCATTCAAAATGAGTTCATTCATTTCATTTTGCAACTAAGGATAATTTCTCAAATTATGTTACATTACGTTAATAATAGAATACTTACATTGTTATTTGTATTATCAGGAACATTTTCAAACTCAACTAACTCTTCACGTGATATTGAAGTTGTTGGCTCATTTGTTTCAGTTGGCTCCTTTTGTTTTTCTATTTTATTATTTATATTTTCAATAGATGACAATGTGTCTTCACTAAAAGAGTTAGCATACATTTCCTAGAAGAAACAAGAAACAAATATTTAATTGTGTACAACTTTTCAATATAAAGAATCAAATATGTATATGTTATTAAAGATACTAAGACTATTAATAAATGTAAGCAGAATGTAAATTATAATTTACTTCAAAGTTTAAAACCAACGTTTTGTCCAACATCCATTGTCAAATAGTGATTTAATTAACGTTCTGTGTAACACCGATACTACAATATGTGTCTAATTTATACTACTTTTTGAAAATGAATGAACATATGAAAAATATCTTACCTCAAAGTTCACAGTAATAGCATTTCTTTTCCATTGAGTATATTTTTTCCAAAATTTTAATTGAATTCCTAGGACAAAATCCTTCAGTATTTCTTTGGCATCATTTTCATTCAGTTCAAAAAATATATCAACATCTATTCCTTTGTCTAAAATGAAATGTCATGTACATACAAAAAAGGGAAATACTATTTTTAGCAATGACTTTTAGAACATGTTTACAAATGAATGGTAATTATTCAGTTTAGCCTCCTCAGCTCCGATTTCGATGAAAGTAGGCTCAATCGCCGTGTTTTTGTTAAAGAAACAACTTTTTGATTTGACAAAATCGTCGCTCTCTACTGCGAAGCGAGATATTAATAGATAAAGTTGAGGGCGCGTTAGGTTAGAAAATCTGTCATACCGTCTATCTCTAGCTATGTGGCTGAGGGGTTTCGCTCACCAGACCTCCCGCACCGTGGCGGCGAGGTGCCACAGTTTTTTGTAACAAATTCACTCTTTACCTTAAGCACAGATAGCTAGAGATAGAAATATTAACGATTTTTTAACCTAACGCGTCCTCAACTTTGTCTATTTATGAGAAATACACTCTTATCCTACTTTCATCGAAATCGGAAATGAGAGGGCTAAACTGAATAATTTTAATTCAAACTGAATAATTACCAAAATCTATATGAGTCATAATGAGATCTAAGCACGGTCCGCCGAAGATTATATGCAAGGGCGCAAAGAGACGAACGACTTTATCGCAGCGGCAGAGAAACACCGGTGCTTGTACAGGCGAGCGATCTCGTCGTGGCGGTCAAAAAATACCAGTGCCTGTACAGATGGGCGGATCTGCTGCGGCGGAATTATTATCTATCTCACTCACGTTACAGATCTCAGTCACGGCTAGCAGATCTGCCTGTCTGTACAGGCTACCGGTGTTTCTCTGCCGTTGTGACAAAGTCAGCTGTCTATTCGCATCCCTACTTATAACATACTTTAAAGAAGAAAGAAATATTGGTAGGACAAGCTAAACATTTTACTTACCTTTGAAAGCCTGAACCACTATTGGAGGCATGCCCCATGAATATAACGTTTTACTTACAAAACTATTGTCACTTACGTTCACTTCCGCCATCTTGATGTTACTCTCTCATATGCACTGTTGCCGGCGAACGCGAAATAAATAAGCATCTAATATAAGTAAAACCATTTTCAAATCTATAATTCTTAAGCCAAGAATAAATGGCTTCAAAATAATGTGATGGAGTTTGTTACAATCATATCATAACTTCGGACAAAAATACTATCTTAAGAATAAAATATATTTTGCTCGAATCTAATTATTTTTGATGCAATTGAACATTTCTTATTAAAGAGGACATTTCATACTTAATTGAAGGCAAGTAGTATTCAAGAATAAAAATATACGTGGATTAAGAATTCCTTTTTTCGTGTGTTACATCGTTTAATTTTCGGAAATCCACTACGATTCGTAATTTTGTTTCTCCTGACGCATCCGTTTTCTTCGGTACGGTCAATAATGGTGCATTCCACTGACTATTGCTGGCTCTTATTATTTTGTTATCGAGCATTTCTCGTATTTGTTTATCTACCACCTTTTTATGCTGCTCTGGCAGGCGATATGGTTGCACGTTTACCGGGGCGGCATCACTTCATGTGGTAATTCGATGCTTTACGACCGCAGTATGCGTAAAGCTGTCTCCTTCGAGGAAGAATATGTCATTGTATTCCTCGCAAACTTCGCGTATTATTTTTTCTCTTCTATATTTAGATGCTCCAACCTAATTGCTGATTCAGTATTTCCGTTCGCGCTAGCAGTTTATTATTTCGGTTTGTAGTGAGTACGTTTATCTCTACGTATCTTCCGGAGTGTCTTCTAATATTATGTAAGGTGTGGTTATTTCGACAATGTAGTCGGTAGCATTGATTACTGTGGCAGGACATGTATAATAGTCAGGTTCCACTAGACAATTTCCAATAAAAATTCCCTGCAAAATTTCTTCAGCTGGGATTATTCCCACTTAATTTATGTTCACTGCGGCGCGTATTATTACTTCACTGCGCGCAGGGAGGTTGTATATTTGCTGTGGTATTAGCGATAGACTTTGTCCGGAAACCGTCATTGTTTTTGTTTTATAGTCGAATTTAGCGCGGTGTTCGCGAAGGAAATCTACTCCTAAGATCCCCTCGTGTTTGATTGGAAAATCACAACGAACAGTTCAAATTTTCAGCGCTGTTTTCCTACGTTGCGATTATTTGCTGTGACGATTATTTTTTCTATAGTATAAGCTTTATGTCCGGTGATACCAGTTAGTGTCAATTTTTCCGCAGTCATATCATCGTTTAATGTTTGTATTTTTACGAGACGATCCCATGTCAACGAGAAAAGGTATTCTCTTTTGTTTCGCCTCCTTTATCGGCAAGATTACTAGGTAAAATCCGGCGCGGCTATGTAAATTTCGCCGGATCTGGTTTACGCGGTAGTCACGCACGCGACTTTGCTCCTTTTTGTTTCTTTCTTCCTGGTCGTGGTTGAATCTAGCGCTCCCGTTTCCGCGAGATGTCGATGGTTTATTTGTATCTAGCGCTGTGATAGTCACTGAGCGCGCGTATCTTCGGCGGTCGCTCGCGGTATCCAGTGTCCCAGTAGACTTCCCGTGTAGGTGCCAACAGTCATCGCGAGTGTGCCCGTTTTTTTGCAGTGCAAGCAATGTTTATCCGCGGAGTTTATTCGAGTCTGCGTTTCGGTTTTCGGTAATGGAAACCGATTTGCATATCGGCTTGACCGACATTCGTGTCCGTAGTGTCCTAATTTTCCGCATTTGGAGCAGTTGATGACTTTGTCATTTTTTGCGTATGTTAATGGTTTTGATCTTACGGGGGATTTTACGTTTCCCTGCACCCGTTCTTCTGGCGGCGGAAATCGCCTCGCGCAAAGTATAAGGTGTAGTAAAAAGAAATCCATTATTTTTCCAATAGATGGCTTTAGTAATGTGTATCTCGCGTTGTATAAGTGCGATCGATTTACGCTAGATGGCGTTAGAAAGATAAGATTTTGTACTAAAAAAACTTCTTAGACAGTTTTGTGATTGTTTGACTCAGTATTGTTTGAGCGCGCGTCAAAGATGGACACCAGCAAAGAGAAAATACGCCATATTTTACAGTTTTTCTTCGATAAAGGCGAAAACGCAAGCCAGGCGGCTGAAAATGTGAATAGTGTTTATGGTCCTGATACTGTAACAGCCAATCACGCGCAATTTTGGTTTCGTCGA